TGAAGGCAAAAGGGGGTCCAACCGGTGAGTGTATACAGAAATGTAAAAACAACAGGCAGAGATAAATAGCGTTGAAGAAATAAAGAAGGTAAAAGATAAAAAGGAAGAATAAAACAGACAAAAATATTATCACATGCACATAAATACTTAAAAAAAGTAATAAAGTTGAAGCTTATTATGTACAACAAATAAGGTAATTATTACAAAAGCTAATTAAAAGATACTGATATGACCCACTATATATCTCAGTGTGTAATTTAATTTCTAGCTACATTTGTTAGTTTATTGTATTTTTGGGGGGCAATTAATTGTATGCTTATCTATTTATTGAGCATTTATTTATTTATTTTTAAATATGGTAGATTGGTCCTCCATAGTAAATGGCGTGTAATTATATAGCACTTTTTCAACTCAGGAGACTTCAAAGCACTTTACACTAATTTCAGTCATTCATCCATTCATTCACACACACTAATGGTGGTAAGCTACATCGTAGCCACAGCTGCCCTGGAGCTCACCGACATAAGCAAGGCTGCCGTACACTGGTGCCACCTGGCCCTCTGACCACCATCAATACGCAATGCAGGTGAAGAGTCCTGCCCAAGGACACGACGACACACAAAGCTGGAACTGGGGCTTCAAATATCAACCCTTCAATTTCAGGGCAAACACCCGATGCCACTGTAGCCCCCTTTTACAGTGGTGTTGGGTTCCTTTTACAGGTAAATATAGGAAAACGTTTAGATACATTTGCATTAAAAACAAAAATACATAAAGACCCATATAAATACCCAAGAAAAAAAACTGAGATAAATGTGAAATAAATTAAAAAACCAGAACTATTTTAGAACAAATCTTTTACAAACAAACAAGCTAAAGTGATTAAACGGCACTTAAGTAGGCATTAGCTTTAAAGGCCTTAACTAAGGACCCACACTGGCAGCTCATTCCCCCCCAGCTGAAATACGAACCCAGGCTTCCTGTTTGCAGGACGGGTGACTTAACACTTGAGCAAGGCAGCCTCAATTCAGGTCCTGCAAAGAGATTTTGATGACGGTCTCTAAAGACCTCAGAGCATTGCTGTTCATCTAACAAGCAATCCTGAAATGTTGCTTGTTAGATTTGTCAACAAAGATTTGGGCTTAATAGAGCATTTTAAAATCCATTTTACAATCGATTGACGTGCAGGGTCACCTTTGAGCACATCATTTCACCTTTCTTTTACCAGTTCACCGCAGTTCTTCCAGCAGTCCACGCTTTTTCTCATCATCTTCTCCTTCTTTCCCATCACCGGGCTGGCCACAGGTTTGCCTGCTGTGTGTAAAAGTAGCAGCAGCAGCAACCCAGACTGACAGCAGCTCATTGGCTAAGTCCTGGAAGCTCTGGAGGTCTTTACCCTACAGTGGGCACTGGTTGGAAATGGACGGTTTCCTGCGTGAATCACGATGTAGGGAAGACCGGGGCTAGTTGTCACACTTTTTACATTCATATAAAAATATTGGAATCAGAACACCTTATATAAAAAACATATGTATCAGATGAAAGACCAAAGTCTCAGGTATATATTTTGTATTCAGGTAATTTTTATATCTTATTACTGTGCAGAGTTATAAGCGATCTAATGGAGATTGTC